ATGGGTGTGTCAGAGGCGGTGCGGTTGGCGCAGGATAGAGCAGGGTTTAGGGCTGTTGTGCATAGGGTCGCTATGAGTCGAAAACGACTCGACGGCACATAACAACAACAACAACAGCTAAAGAAGCACATAAGTGTCTAAATATAGTATCCAAATCTACAAAGTAGAATGCCTATAAAAAAGTGATTAATAACATTCCCTATGTATTGAGAATCAAGCACTTTTTTCCCCACTAAAACATTCACTGTGTTTATCAAGAAAATTAAGAAGCTTCTTTTTTTTTTTTTTCTAGTCCTGTGTACACCTTACATATAGTACCATGGCCAAATTATATCTCCAGTATGTCTTTGCTTGTCTGATAAATATCCATATCTATGTATAGATATGAGGGGGAGAGAGAGAGAGAAAGAGAGAGAGAAAATATGAATGGAGAATGTCCTAATGGAAAATTATGGATAGCACAGCTAACCAAAAGGTCAGCAATTGTCCCAAAAGGTACATAACCTTGGAAATCAAATGGATGCTAACCAAACCTAATAAATGGATGTTCACCATAAGTTTATATAAACTCAACAGCAGTGTACTTGGTTTGGGAGCCCTACACATATATAACTGAAATAAAAATTGGTTCCAACTTCATAAAGAAAACTATTAGAGATAAACCAACAACTCATTTTTTTTTCTATGGTCTAGATGCAAGTAAAGAAATAAAAATGAAATTCATACATAAAAAGCAGAATTGCTTTATTATAATAATTAATGTATATCAGAAAAATATTAATGCTTTAAGGTATCTAAATAATCTTTTATTTATAAATATATCTTAAAAACTCAAATTATTCTTTGCTAGTAATAATGTATACGAATGTGATAAATAAAAACAAGTCCATGACCACAAAAAATACAACCTTGGGTCTGTCTCACTTGAATCTAAAAAGTCATCTCAAAAGTAGTTTGGAAGCATTGAACACCAGTGACCAAAATCCAGATGAGTTATGGTATGGCATCATGAAGAAAGAAAAAAATCATCACAATAACAGAAAAGAAAGAAAAGACCAAAATTAATGTCAAAATAGATTCTGAAAATTACATTATAACACAGAAAGGGCAAAACAAAAGAGATAAATGCTGTAATGAAAGAGTAATACTGACATAAAAGAGATGAACATAATTTTTCAAAGGGCAACTTGTGAATCCAAAGCATTTTCATGAGATGTGAAAAGAGTTTGAGTTAGAACAACAAAATGGTCAAACATAATTGGCATTTCTCAAGCTGAAGGAACTAAAGAACAAATTCAAGTCTCAAAATACAGTACTGAAGGAGTCTGTGGACAAAGTATTGGATGGTGCAGGAAGCATCAAAAGAAAGTCGAAAAAATACACAGAATCTGTGCACCAAAAAGAATTGGTTGATAGTGAAGCATTTCAGGAAATAGTATATGATCAAGAACCAAGTAACAAAGGAAGAAGTTCAAGGTGCATTGGCAGAAAGTAAGGCCCAAATAATTGAGAGAATACCAACTTACATATTTCAATAAACAGATGCAGCCTTGCTTACTAGTATATGACAAGAAATATGGAAGACAGCTACCTAACTAACTGATTGGAAGACATCCATCTTTCCTCCAATTCCAATAAAATGTTATCCAACAAAATGTGGAAATTATCAAAGAATACCATTATAATCATATGTAAGTAAAATCTGCCTGATGATTATTTTTAAAATGCCTTGAACCACACATCAACAGAGAACTACCAGAAATTCAAGCTGGATTTAGAATAAGGCATGGCATACAGTATATTATTGCTGATGTCAGATGGGTATTGGCTGAAAGAAGAGACTATCAGGAAGATATTACTTGTGTTTTATTGAATATGTGATGAAACTTGATTTTGTGGATCATAACAAATATGGATAACTATTAATAAGAACTGAAAGCCCAGGACACTTAATTTGTCTTTTGGGAAATTAATGCCTAGACCAAGAAGCAGTTATTGAACAAGGAAACACTGCATGACTTAATATCAAGAAAGATGTGTGTTGGGACTGTATGCGTTCTCCATCTATACTCAATTTAAGCAAATAATTTAAGAAGCTACACTATATGAGTAAGAAAATGGCATCAGGATCGGAGAAAGATTTAATACCCAAGTCATGACACAACCTTTCTTACAGAAAGTGACTTGAAGAACTTGCTGTAGAAGATCAAACACTATAGTCTCCAACATCTCAACATCTAGTAAACAAAGATCTTCTTCATTGGACCAATAGTCAATGTCATGATAGATGCTGAAAAGGTAGAAGCCATAAATGGTTTCATTTTATTTAGATTCACAATTAACGCCCATGGTAGCTATAGTCCAGAAAGCAAAAGACACTGGGAAAAATCTGCTGTCAAAGAACTATCCAAAATGCTAAAGGGAAAGCATGTCACTTGAAAGACTAAAAGGCACCTGATACAAGCCATGGCATTTCCAATTTGTATATTTGTATGATTCTGAAAGTTGGATAATGAATGAAGACGATAGAAGATTTGATGTCTTTAAATTGTGATGCTGGAAAAGAGTACTGAATATCCCACATTATTGTTGTTATGTATCAGAGCTGGAATCAACCCATAGCTGGCCCTTGAGCAGGTATTCAGAGGCAGTAAATAACACTAGAAGAGATTGCCCATCCTTCTCCCATGGATGAATATCTCATAGACTGAAAAAAAACCAAAACCTACAAACCCTCAAACAAACAACAAACAAACAAACCCCCACACCCTATAAATAAGTATGTCTTGGAGAAAATGCAACCAGGGTGCTCCTCAGAGGCAAGGACTATGAAACTTCAAATTTGGGCATGTTGTCAGGAGAGGACAATCCTTGGAAAAATATCAGGCTTGGAAAGGTGGAAAGTCAGATAAAGGAAGGCTCTCAAAAGATGGATTGACATAGTGACTGTAACAATGGCCTAGAGCATATGAGAGATCATAAGGATAAGGCTGAATTGGGAAGATTCAGATATATTGTTCATAGGGTCTGGCTGCTATGAGTTGTAGTCAACCTGATGACATACATAGCAACCCCAATTATAGTATACATTTAATTTCTAGAAATGATATGATCAGTCAAATACAATTAAGGGGAAAACCACTTACTTTGGAGGCACTTGCACAATTTTCTCTGTTTGTAAGAGTGAGAAGTATTTAGCATCTCGACCAACAATTAAAGCATTATAAGTTAAGGTTTTCTTGCTTGGATTTGTCACCATAATCTATGGAAAAGAGTGTAAAATTAGATTATGAATTTTAAAAAGTGTACAATATAACAATTTTTATTTTATCAAAGATAGTTTCCAGCAAGGAGATGGCAGATTAAAAAAAATCACATGACTCGCAAATATTTGAACCCCATAATTAACAACTTTAAATTTATTTTTTTTTCAAAGGTAAAACTTTGAAGAATTTTAAACAGAGAACTTTATATAATCAAATTTAAAAGGAAGATGCTACTCTGTTCTGTACAGAAAGTATTATAAGGTACAAGGTGTATGTTTTTTGCCGTTGTGTGCTATAGAGTCGGAATCAACTAATAGCTGACCTTTCAGTGGGTTTTCAGAAGCAGTAAATCTCATGGGAGAATATTATCCATATTTTTCTCCCTAAGCAGCTGGTGGATTTCAAATATGTACCTTTTGGGTTGGAAGCACAACTCTTTAACAACCAGGTCACCATAGCTTGAAATACAATGTTGTAAGTGACAAGATAATAACCATACACATACAAGGAAGTACAGTGAATCCACTATCATTTAAATAAATGCACCAATAACCAGAGACAAAGAAGAGGAATTAGAAGATTTGTACCAACTTTTGCAGTCAGAAATTGACTGAATATGCAATCAAGATGCATTAATACTAATAATAGGTAACTGTATTACAAAAGTTGGGAACCGGGAAGAAGGATCAGTACTTGGAAAACATTGATGTGGTGACAGAAATGAAGCTGGAGAGAGAATGAAAAACTTCTGTACATTCAATCATTTTTTCATTGCAAATGCCTTTTATGAGAAACATAAACACAGACTGTACCCATGAATTTAATCTGATGACATACTCAGGAACCAGGTTGATTACATCAATGGAAAGACTAGTTGGAGAAGCTCAATATCAGCAGTGAAAACTAGGTCAGGTGCTGATTGTAAAACAGACCATCAACTACTCATATGCAAGTTTGAACTGAAGCTAAAGAAGTTTAAATAAAATCCCACAGAAACCAAAATTTTATGTTAAGTCTATCGCATCTGAATTTCAAAACCATCTCAGGAACAGGTTTGAGGCCTTGAATGCTAATGAACGAAGACCAGATGAGTTGTGGGTGGATATAAAGAATATCATCCAGGAAGAATATAAAAGATCATTACAAAGACAGAAGAGGAAGGAAAGACCAAGATGGATACCAGAAGAGAGCTTCACTATTGCACTAAAGCACCAAGAAGCCAAAGCAAAGGGAAGAAATAAAGAAGTTAAGGAGATGAACAGAAGATTTCAAGGGCAGCTTGGGAGGACAAAGCAAGGTATTATAATGAAATATGCAAGGAGCTGAAGTCAGAAAATAAAAAAGGCTGAACTCAGCATTTCTTAAGCTGAAGGAACTGAAGAACAAAGTCAAGCCAGAAGTTGCAATAAATAAGGAATGCAGTGGGTGGAATACTAAATGATCCAGGAAGCATTAAATGAAGATGGAAGGAGTATACAAAGTCAGTGTACCAAAAAGAGTTGGCTGACACAGAATAAGTTCATGAACCAACATATGATCAAAAGGCAAGGATAATGAAGGAAGAAGTGCAGGCTGCTCTGAAGGACTTGGCGAAAAATAAAGCCCCAAGAATTGACAGTATACCAAGTGACATTGTTCAAGAAATAGATGTTTCCCTGAAATCTGGATGAAAACTACCTGGTCAACTGGCTGGAAAAATCCATATTTCTTCCTATCAAAAAAAAAAAAAGGCAATCCAGCAGAGTGCAAAAATTATCAAACAATATCATTAATATTATTGTGTGTTATATATTAATAAACACAAGCAAAATCCAGCAGTGTGAAAATTATCAAACAGTCGCTATGAGTCGTAGACGACTCGACGGCACATAACAACAACAACAACATCAACAATATTATTGTGTGTTATATATTAATAACACACAAGCAAAATCCTGTTGAAGATTATCCAAAAACAACTGAAACAGTACATTGACAGAGAACTACCAGAAATACAAGCTGGATTTAGAAGAGGCTGTGACACTAGAGACGTTATCACCAATGCCAGCTGGATTTTGGATGAAAGCAAAGAATACCACAGAAATGTCTATCTGTGCTTCATTGACTATGCAAAGGTATTTGACTCTGTGGATCACAAAAAAAAAAAAATTGTGACTAACCTTGAGAAGAATGGGAATCCTAGAACACTTGACTGTGCTCATGTGAAACCTATACTTGGACTAAGAAGCAATTATCAGAACAGAGCAAGGAAACACTGCATGTTCAAAATCAGGAAAAGTGTGCATCAGGGATGTGTCCTGGCTTCATACCTTTTTAATCTATATGCAGAACAGGTCATTTGAGAGGATGGACTTTATGAGGAGGAGTGTAGCATCAGGATTGGAGGAAGACTCATCAACAACCTGTGTTATGTAGATGATACAACCTTGCTTGCCAAAACTGAGGATGACCTGAGGTATTTGCTGCAGAAGGTCGAGGACTGTAGTGTTCAATATGGATTGAAGCTCAACATCAAGAACATGAAGATTCTGACCAGTGGGCCGACTGGCAATTTTATGTTAGATGGAAAAGAGTTTAAGGTTGTTAATAATTTCAGCTTGCTTGGCTCCTTAATCAACTCTTGGCATCAGCAGTCAGGAAATCAAAAGACAAATTGCACTGGGGAAGTCTGTTATCAGGGACCTCTCCAGAGTGCCAAGGAGCAATTACATCTGTTTAGAAATGAAGATAAATCCTATCCAGGCCATGGTTTTCACATTACATGCTGTACGTCAGAGAGCCGGATGATGACTAAGGATGGCAGAAGAATTGAAGCCTTTGTGTTGTGGTGCTGGAGAAGAATACTGAACATTCCATGGAGCACTAGGAGAAAAATAGTTCTATCTTAGAGAGAGTGAAACCAAGTTTCTCCTTGGAAGCAAGAAATTTGAAGCTTTGTCTCACATACTTAGGGTACATGGCCAGGAAGCATCAGTCCTTGGAGAAGGATATCATGCTTGGGAGGGTGAAGGGACAGTGCAAGAGAGGAAGTCCTCCGATGAGATGGATTGACACAATAACTAAGATGAGATTAGGTGTGCTGGAGTTGGTGAGACTGGCTCAGGACAGGGCAAGGTTCAGAGCTGTAGTACATAGGGTGGCTATGAGTTGCAGGCAATGTGATGGCACATAACAACAACAACAGAACTGGTGGTCTAATAGTAAGAATTTGCACTGCACTTCTAAAGGTAGAGGGCTTGAATCCACCAGTAACTCTGTGGGGAAAGGATGGGTAATCTCCTCCTACGTTATTTTCTGCCTCTGAAAAACCGCTGGAGCCAACAGTACACAACAACAACCAGGACTAACAGGGAACTCTAGTTCATTCGGAAAGTGTTCAGTCTGAGATCTCTCCACAGTCCTGAAGAGCAACCATGCCGGTTTAAAGACTAAAGTGCACCTGATGAAAAGTCATGGTCTTTTCAATTTCTTTGCTATGCAGTGAATAAAGATGACACAAGAATTGGTACCTTTGACCTGTGGTTCAGGAGAAGAATATTAAATATCATATGGACTGCCAAAAGAACAAACATGAATTGGCAAAGGTTCAGCCAGGAAGCTCCTTGGATGGTCAAACTTTGTGTCACATTAAGCATGTTGTTAGGAGGGGCCAGTTTTTGGAAAAAGACATCATGCTCAGAGGAGTGGAGTGTCAGCGAAGGAAGGGAAGACTCTCAATAGGATGGATTGGTACAGATTCTTTAACAATGGGCTTAAGAGCAGCAGAGATGAGGAGAATGTCACAGGATACAGCAGGGTTCAGATCTATCAGTCATAGGGTCACTACGAATTGTGGTCACCTTGAGAGCACCTAATAACAACAACAGTGTCATGTTCCATAGGAAGTTGTGTTGCTAACACAAAAGTGGTGTCTCTTTGGTGGTTTGAATCCACCAGTTCCTACTCAGAAGGAAGATGGGCACTCTCCTTCTGTGCTGTTTACAACCTTCAGAAAATCCAATGAAGCTATGTGTGTTTCTTTCTACCTGAGACCAATGGGGAGAGAGACTAGAAAAAGTGTGTTACTTACTGAAGCATTTCTGCCTTCAACTTTATCACATATTTGGGAGTTTTAGGTTGCTCACCTATGCATATGTAACAATTATGGTGGAGCTTTGTAAATATGTATATCTTTCTGCTGTTCATGAAGAAAAACTAGTTGGGGCTGAGTTGATTCCGACTCACAGAAGCCCTTTGTGTGTCAGAGTAGAACTATGCTAGATACAGCTTTTAGTGGCTGAATTTTTGTTAGTAGATTGTCAAGATTTTTTCTTAAGATGCCTCTGGGTGAACTTTAATCTCTAGTCTTCTGGCTAGCAAATGAGCATGTTAACCATTTGCACCACCTCAGCACTTCAGTATACTTTAACAAACATGGTGATTTTAAGGTTCAGATCATGAATTTTCATTTTAGGAAAATAAATGTTGGATATTTATCATATACTCACAGCAATATGTTACTGGCTAGAGGTCCTGAACCTCTGATAACCAAGACCTTCGGGAAAGTGCTTAGTCTAATTACATCTATAACACAGAGGTGTAATGTTTATCTGTGTTCAACTAGAAATTTTAATTCAAATATAATTAAGAGGAAAGTTCAGTTGCTTAAAAAAGTCTCAGGAAAAAAAAATCCCAACCCTATCCAATTTAATGTACTACATAAGAGCTGTTTTCGGCTAGTTCTAACGTTTTATGCATCTTTTCATAACAACTGTAAAAATCCTTTTTCAAGTATCATTGCCATTTTTTTTAGGTTTTCCTATATTCTGGAAATATATATTCCTGTATTTTGGGTGGTTGATAGTGTTGGTTAAGAATGCCATTTTACAAATTAGGCATTGCCATTTCACTGTGTTGATCCTTTGCTGCAAACTGTGCCAAAGATTCTCAGTGAACAATTTTCAAATCTGTGAATTAAACTTTAAAATACAAAGCCTTAACTTTGAATTTCAATATTTTTCCTTAAAAATTGTCTTATATTTTTGAACACTGAAATATATATCTAGAAAATTTCATCTATTATCTTAAAATGTGAAATTTATTTCTAATAAAGAATGGAATGAAGAAAGAAAGCTTATTTCCATTTAAGAAACCCTAATGACACAATAGGAAAGCAACAAATGACAAGTGCATGACATTTGGATTGCTAACAAAAAGGTTGGCAACTTGAATTCATCAGGTGTTTTTCAGGAGAAAGATGGGCATTAGAGGATCGTTGTGAATTGGAGTGTATATAAGGGCATGTTTCTTTTGGTTACTTTTATCTTTAGCACTATAATGAAAATGTGTGCTTAAGCATTGTTGTTTTTGTTAGGTACTTTTGGGTAGGAACTGACTCATAGCTGACCCTCCAGTGGGTTTTCCAAGGCAGTAAATCACATGGGAGGAGATTGTCCATCTTTCTCCCACCGAGCATCTGGTGGATTTGAACTGCTTGATTTTATGTTGGCAATGTAACTCCTTACCACTAGGCCACCAGAGTTCCCTTAAATATTAGCTAATGTTAGTATTATGGGAGCTCTGGTGATGTAGTCCATAGGTAGTTGTGCTGCTACTCAGGAGGCCATGCTTCTCTGGTGGTTCAAGTCCTCCAATGATCCTTAGGGAGAAAGATGGGCATCTCCTTTCATTCCATCTACAGGATAATCAGTTATTAATTGGTTTCAACTTGATAACAATGATCAAGGTATGGAGATAGATATAAATATAGAGATAGAGAAAGAGAGAGAGATACATATAGATATAGATATAGATTAGATCTAGATCTAGATATAGATAGATATAGATATTGCTTCTACAAAAAGAGAAAAAATAAATTACATAAATAAATTAATAATCAAATAGGAAGACAATGTTACAAAAACACCAGAATAAACCTATTCTCTCAAGTCATGAAGGCAAGTTCATGCACTCAGAGTAGAATCGTACTCCACAAGACATTTTGAAGCTTTGTAGTTCAATCTCACCATCCCCTCCACGGAGACAAATGTAGCAATCTATCTATCTCTACTGCAAATCCTATGAGATTGTTTTACTCTATTCTAAAATCAACGTGACAGCAATGGGTTTGAGGTTGGTTTTTTTTTTTTTGGTTGTTGTTTTAATTTTGTGGAAGCTTGTGGGTTTGAACTCTAACCTTTCAGTTAGAAATCCCAGCATGTAATGCACTATGCCACAGGACTCCTTTAGAACATCTTTAGAAAACTGATCACACTTAACTGTAATTAGCTACCAATGAATCTAATTCAGATTCTTAACATCTACAGGCTTAAGCAAATCACATCTAACTCTCCTGAAATTTTAACGTGGATTAAAAAGTCCTCTGCAATGTAACTGAAACTAAGCTAGCTGACATACAACATTCCTGAGTATAACTGTGGATAGAAAAATAGCTTATTAAACACTACTGCAAAAATTCTTGTAGGGTTTCATATCTCTTTTTTCTTTTTTTTACTTGGAGCATGTTTGGGTTGGTTTTTTTTTTATTTTAATTAACATTTACAGAGATTTTGGATTTCCATTCATTTCTTGTTGCACCATCTCTCTTTTACTAACACCGATGGAAAGGCACAAAATTAAAGGTATAATTCCTCATTAGTTCAAATCCACCACCAGCTGTTCCACAAGACAAAGATGGGCAATCTCCTCCTGTGAGATTAAACTGCCTCTGAAAACCCTCCGGAGGGTCAGCTTTATAGTATACAACAGCAATAACAACAACATTATTTTCTAACAAAAAAAAATTATACTGGAGATTCTTTGTCTTCTTTAAACTGAGTTGTTTGTATTCTGAGACAAGGATCTGAGTTTTTCCCAAAGTAAAAGATGGGGAAGTGAATCCTTATCCATCATTATTCACACTGTCAAAGAAGTTACACAGTTGTTTTCTCAGAGGGCACAATTATCAATTATAGATCACCAGAACATAATTTTTTAAAGCCAAACATGAGCAAATTTCACACTGTCAATATAAACATATGCCCTCTCCCAAAATATGAGTAGGAATAGATAAAAACAGCTTGAGGAAAGGAATAAGCATAGATCTTATACAGACATAATTGTGTCAATTTATAGCATCCTGAGAATGCATCATGGGGAGACCTATAAATGTGACTGTAACTTATGATAAAGAGTATAAAGAACAGCTATGTCTAAATATAAGCAGTTTAAAATTACATGCTAGAAAATACTTTACAAGTGTTGATAAGAAACAAATGTCTTGGAAAACAAATTGAAGTCAATGTGTGCTGACAAGATATTTCCCCTCCAAAGATAAAACCTACAAACTTGGATATGTTTATATAGAAATGTTACTTGGCATAACATGCAGAAATTTAATTTCCAATATTTGAAAATCATAAAAAATGCACTCTTACACACTGAGTAGCTTTTGTATATGAAAATGTTTTGTGGAAATAAGATAACCCTGAAGTACTATCAATGAGCCTTGATGACATAATGTTTAAAATATTCAGCTACCAACTGAAAGGGAACTCTGGTTGCCTAGTGGTAAGGAGTTGTGCTACAATCCAAAGGCACATGGTGCAAATCTACCAGCTGTTCTGTGAGAGAAAGATGAACAATCTCTTCCTGTGCGATTAAAATGTCTCTGAAAACCCACTGGAAGGTCAACTGTGGGTTGGTCTGACTTGACAGTACACAACAACAACAACAACAACAGCAACAACTAACAGAAAGGTTGATGTTTCAAATACACCAAAAAGTCCATAGCAGAAAGATGTGGAAATCTGCTTCCATAAACATGTACATCCTTGAAACTTTGGAATAATTTGACCCTTCCCATAGAGTCACTGTGAGTCAGAATTGACCCCAAGCCAATAGTTTTACTTTCGCAGTTTGTAGTATTTTCATTATTACCTCCTTTTCAACACCTCCATTTTAAAAAAAATCCACCTAGATGTGCAAACTGCACATTCAGATGACAAGTTTCCACACAGAGTGTCATTCCTTTGATGTATAAAATGGATCTCAAGTGGCCTGGATGGACTGGATCTTCAAAAGTACTGAACTTTCACTCTTCACCTTCCCAAATCACATTGATTTCACAAATATGAAAGGAGGGGTAGTCATTTCATAGCAGGTGATAATCATTATTAAGCCAAATCTGTAGCTTACACTTTTTTACAGCTTTAGAAGGTTTCAAGGCAAAATAATTTGCTAAGGCTTATTTGATGGATAGACAGGTAGATAAAATGGCTAGACAAACAGAGGTTGAATTTTTCAAGCTATAAATTTTACAGAAGCAGATTGATACGTCTTTCTCTCTTAAGAGCTGCTGCTGGGTTCAAATGACCAAACTTTCAGTACTGCCCAGCATGTAGGTTGTGCCACCAAGGAGCCTTAAATAGAGTTTCTGTTATTATTTTTGAGTTTCAGTGAATGACAAACTCAATGTATAATGCAATGAAATGTTGCCTGATCTTATGCCATCTTCACGTTTTTATCCACTACTGTGACTATATAAGCTCAAATTAAAAAAAAGAAAACACAACAAACCAACAACAACTAATCCACTGCCATTAAGTGGATTCTGACTCATGGCGACCCTGTATGCTTCCAAGAAGAACTGTACTTCACATGGTTTTTGTGGTCATGACTTTGGGACATAGCTTGTCAGATCTTACTTCTAAGGTGCCTTTGAGTAGATTAGAATTGCCAGCCTTTCATTGGGTAGCTGAATAGTTTTTATGATTTGCACCACCAAGGGACTCTTAATTTTGGGCTGTGAAGGAAATATGTAAAACCTCTCCTAAGTTCTTAACTCTATGTATGCATTGGCACAAGATCCCGCATACCTGTCTCGTCACGATCTCATATAGAGCAGCATGGAAAGTCACCACTTTCCTGGGAAGGAATGTAGGGAGCCTTTCATACATGTAAGCACAAAGCATGAGCATTAACACCGGGTTTGGATCACAGATATCTTCTGCCTAGTTTCAAAGAAGAAAAATATTTATCAGAGTATATACTAATACATTGAAATATTTTCAAAGAGCTAAACATATCTAAAACCAGGAGAGGATAAAATAGATGAGTGGGATCTTCTAAGAATCAAATCCCTATGCACATCCAAAAACTTCTCCAACAGGGTAAAAAAGGAAGCCACAGACTGGGAAAAAACACTTGGTAATGACATGTCTGACAAGGGACTTATATCTAGAATTTATAAAATACTCGAGCACCACAACAAGATAAATAACCCAATTAAAAAATGGGCACAGGATATGAACAGACACTTCGCCGAAGAAGACATTCAGATGGCAAACAAACACATGAAGAAATGTTCAAAATCTTTAGCTCTGAGAGACAAATCAAAACAACTCTGAGATACCACCTAACCCCACTAAGAATAGCAAAATTTATCAGAACAAGGAAAGGGTGTGGAGGTGGGAGTGGCGCTACCACTATGGAAGCCTGTACGGCACTTTCTCAAAAAGTTGCAGACAGAAATATCATTTGACCCAGCAATTCCAATACTGGGAATTTACCCTAAAGAAACCGTAACTGCCAACCAAGCACATATACACATACTCATGTATTTGTAGCTTTGTTTACAATAGCAAAGAGCTGGAAACAGCCCAAGTGCCCATCAACAAACAAATGGATAGAGAAGCTCTGGTATATTCACACAATGGAATACTATTCTGCATTGAAAAACAAGGAAATCATGAAATATTATGCACAATGGATGACCCTGGAGGACATTATGCTGAGTGAAACATCTCAGTCAAAAAAGGACAAATAGTACATAGGGTCACAGTTGTAAAATGGGACTGGCATCAGGGTTGAGGGAAGACAGAAAAGACGGGGAGGAATGACGTATATTGCACTGAAACAGATGAGGGAGAGAACTGTTTAAAATGGATAGATGAATAGGTATTCTTGTCATTATGGAACTCCAGAGTGAAGGTTGCATAGTGGAGTGAACTTGGGAGAAGGGATTGCATAACATTGAAAGAGTTTTCTTTTCCTTTTCAAGAAGAATGATTTTGGGGGAGGGGGTGGGCAGGGAGAAAAGCACAACAATGAATAACTGGAAACCCTAAGTCTCTGCAAACTTTCATTAAAATTAATTTTAAAAAATTAGAAAATAAGAAATACTTCATAATCTAGGAAACTGGGGGGGGAGCTAAACATACTATACTAACTTTTGAATATTTTAAAATGCTCTTGATTGACAATGACACTGAAATGCAGATACAGAAAACACCATGTTAAGGTGAATCAGAAAGGCATTTTCTTACAGTTTCTCCCAAGAGATAAAAAAAGAAATTTGGTATGTTTTCAGTAGAACACCGTCCTCACAACCTCACAGAGTCAGTAAAAAAAATAATCAGACCTCAGAAAAAAATACTATATACACCATCCCTGTCTTAAAGTAGTATATGTAGTGTTGAAAGAAAAACCACAAGAATTGTACTTGAGATGTGCCATGAAGAATGCAATGGTTTCAAGGAAGTTGTGTCTCAGGTGAGGAAAAGGGTTCATTCCATCAGAAAGGTAAAGATGAAAAGGCAAGGATATGAACACGAATAGCGCTTGTTCCAAAAAAGAAGTAAAATCTGTATTCTTTCATCAGAAAAGAAGAAAGTAGTATGTGATAATACTAGCAAGTTATGGGGCTACATATGGAGGAGTTGGGTGCTAGAATGAGAAATCTGGTGTTTGAATAAGGAATAGCATGACAGGAGAAACAATCTATGCAAATCAGACAGTATTGGTAAGAAGGAGTCCCCCTTTTCCCCCCCAGAACAAACAAACTCTAAGAAGTAAGAAAATATCATTTTGGGGATGAGCAAGATAAATTAATGAATGGTTGTTACAATAGATTTGTGAGAAAGCTCAGAGTACGGAGGAATAACAGCAGAGGAAATAATTATAGCCTGAGAGTAATTTGGAATCCCAAAGTAGATCTGGGAACAGAAAAGGGAAATGTATTTTCCATATCAATTGATGATGGATCCAAAATCTAGTAAGGATTGTAGTATTGAGAAAGAGGGAATTCATAACACAGAAGCATTATTTTATAGACATGCTATTGAGATTTCTGTAAAGCAGAGACTGAAAGACACACAGGCTGCCCTAGCAATTTAGCAACGCCATAATTATTAATATACAAGGAGCTCTCTGCACTTTCATGAGATAAATACTTTCCTCTCTTAAAGGGGTATATTCAAGTTAGCAAATGAAAATGGGCGGGGTTTATAGCCTCTGAAATATAAAAACAAGAGATGTAATATATTATGTGACCTACTAGTAAGAAATTGCCTGACAACCGAAAGGCACAGGGCTCAAATCCCCTAGATGGTCCACTTGAGAAAGATGGGCAATCTTCTCCTGTGCAATTAACTGCTTCTAAAATTCCACTGGCAGGTCAGCTATGAATTGGTTCTGACTCAATGATACATAACAAGAACAAGAACAAAGCACTTAACTGTGAGATTTGAGCCCCTTATATTATTTACGAATCCTCATTTCTTCATACCTTCTTTGGAAGAAAGAGAAGGTTTATTCTTTCTTGTTTTGGCAAGTAGACTTACTATAGAAACTGCTTAGGGGGGATATTTTTATAAAGAATATGGAAGCTGGCCTGCCCCATCAGAGTGGAAAGTACTGGCAAGTATGATTTGAGGAAAACATTGAAGCACAACTTACCAAAGTGTCTCATTAATATTATGATGTCTCACATTTCTTTAACAATACAGGTATTTCACAGTAGGTAAAGTGCAGTTATTTCAGGGATGAACAAAATCACAGAGTTTAAATATCAGAGATTGATTCACTTTTCAGCCCTTAGTGGTTAAATGTTCAAGTGTAGAATCTGTGTCTGCCTGTCACTATGTGATGGAATAGCATGCAGGTGTGAATCAGAAAGAGCCAGGGAAGTAAGACTGTTGAGGAGAGGAGAAGTATTATTATGGAAGAACATTCTGAAGTTAAGTCTAGGGTCAAGAAAAGGCCTTTGAATTTATCTTCTTTTTTTGGTATATATGACTTAATATAGGTAACAATATCAAAACTATTTCAAACAATATTCTTTGTAAAAGGGAAGCCTATATACTGGGAAAAATACTTGGCAATAAAATATTTGATAAGGGACTCATATCTAAAATTTATAGAATACTCTAGGACCTCAACAAGAAAAAAATTAACAATTCAATTGCAAAATGGGCACAGGATACAATAGACACTTCTCCAAACAAATTCAGATGGCAAACACACACATGAAGGAATGTTCAAAATTTCAAGCCATCTGAAAGATGAAAATTCAATCAACTATGAGATATCATCTCATCACAGCAACAATAGCAACATTCAATAGGCCGGCAAACAACAAATATTGGTGACGTTATGGAGCTTTTGGAGCCTTTATTCACTGCTGGTGGGAATGTAAAATGGTGCAACCACTACTGAAGGCACTGTGGCACTTTCTCAAAAAGTTAGAAATAGAAATACTATTTGATTCAGCAAGTCCACTACTGGGAATATACTCTAAAGAAACCAGAATGACCACTAGAGCAGATGTATGCATACCAATGTTTTGTGGTTACAAAAGGTAAAAGATGGAAGCAACCTCAGAACCCATTAACAAACAAAAGGATAGAAAAACTATGGTACATTTACACACTGGACTACTAAGCAATGAACTCATAAAGCAAGACATACAACGGTGAGCCTGGAGGACGTTATGCTGAGTGAAATCTCCCTGTCATAAAAGGACAAATACTGGATAACACCACTGTAAAACAGGACTGACTTAGGGGGTTGGCAGGAGAATAGGAAAAGAATGGACAGATAAGGAACACTGTACTGGGATTGATGAAGGAAAGAACTGATTAAAAGGAATATATGATTAGGAATTATATGTATGACAATAACATGAAATAAGAGGTGCATAGTAAAGGGGCCTGGAGGAGGAGGAAGAATGAAAATGTACAATAGTGAATGAATACTAAAAAAAAAAAAAGAAGAAGAAGAAGAAAGTGAATTGGGGGAAGGTAAAGAAAGAGAGGAAGGAAGATGTACAACAATTAATGAAGGAATATCCACCTTTTCAGATGCAGGCACAGACTAGTGATGTGGGCCCAGACCAGCGACTTGGGCAGTCTGATGTGCTGAGGATGTATGACTTGGTGGCTTAACATCTGTGAACAGACCACCAATCCCGTGCCCCCAGTAGTGCCCCAGTCCCAAGTCCAGGCCTGCAGTGGTGCCTCCCACCTTCATTCCCACCCCCGCAGTGCCCCAGGGACACTAGCGAGTCCTTCAAGCCACACAGAGAAGGATTTTGAATCTGAACTTTTGTTGGAGCAATTCTTCTTGGAGCTACAGGAACACAAAGCCATGCCGCAGATCCAGCCATCCCCAGAAGCCACCAGCCAAGCTGCTGTGGGACTAATCTGGCAGGAGAAAGAAAGGCTGGTAAGATCCTGACTGGGTTTTCTTGAGTACTACCGAATGCCTGGGAAATCACTGGTGGGAATTTGGTAGAGCTCTCTTGGGCCATTCTGACTGTCCAGGAATGAGCAGGCCAGTGGTAATTTGTCTGAACTTTTGTGGAAACTGCATACCACCCAGAGGCAAGTAGGTTGGTGGGAATTTGACTTTGACTTCTCGGGTGCCATTGGACCCAGGACCCTGCTTGGGCAGGGGTTGCTGCATGAGGGCACATGGCCAGGGATGGCTGGGTGAAAACCACTGGGTGGGAGGCAGACAGCTGGAATTTGAGTAGGGACTCCAATCGTGAGTACACCCAGACAGCTGGGGTCTGAGTTAGGTCTCCCAAGTGGTTGACCTGCCCTTGTGACCGCCTCACCTCCATGCATGCCCCACCCCATTTGACTCCACACCTATGCCTACACATCTTGTCAGTCAACTTTCCTTTAATACGGAGCACCTTGGCCTGTCTCATCTATAAGAGGGTGCTCTC